CAGCGAGCGAGCATAGCGGGCCACTTGTTTATTCAGTGCAATTATTATTTGAGTAGCGAGAGGAGGGTGTGATGCCATTACAGTGGTGGCCCTCTATGCTAAGCGGTGCACACCTCTGAAAGAGCACGCTTTGTGAAACTGAATAATTGCTGCACGAGATTTGCTTCCCTGGATGCACTCTACTCTCCATGCCACGAACATGATCTGCTTGAGAACTCCGATAGCTCGTGTACCTCGCATCCAGGAGATGCCCAGTTCGAATACTGACTAGCAACCAGCTATACAGGTTAAGGATTTTTGTGTCTTCCCTCAGTCCTTTCAAATGAATATTTAATATTACATTAACACGGACCGCGACAGTTTCCACAAACAAGCTTAGATTCTCGTTTGTAATCATTCTAACAACTCAATCCTGGCTGTATGACCTCAGAGTTGGCAGAGAACTCTGAAGTTTCTAACTTCATAGTGCAGTATATTTTTTGGAAAGTTGATAGTCTTACAACAGGTAAAAGTTTTTCCTGCTTTTGAACAACAAAAAGATTTATCAAGGTGTTCAAAATTGCCCCCCCCCACAACCATTGGATCCTGTCTGCGTCAGTTTAAATCAGTCCCCAACAATACACACAATATTCCTTTATGGCTCATTTCAATGCTATCCTTCCATCTAAGACTAGGTCTCCCACATGATATCTTCCTTCGAGGTTTCCCAATCAAAATTTATTTCTTTTCATATTTCCGCCCAAGCGCTACATCTATTCCATTTATATCTCCTTGATGTAATGAGGAGCTTCATAATTTGTACTCTCCGCCAAATATAATAAGAATGATCAAGTCAAGGAGGATGAGATGGGCAAGGAATATAACACGAATGGGGGAGAAGAAGAATGCAGGCAGGATACTGGTGGGAAAACCAGAAGGAAAGAGACCGCTAGGAAGACCAAGATGTAAGTGGGTGGACAGTATTAGAATGGATCTTACAGAGATAGGATGGGGTTGTATGGACTGGATCGATCTGGCTCAGGAATGGGACCAGTGGAGGGCTCTTGTGAATACGGTAATGAACTTTCGGGTTTCATAAAATGTTGGGAAGTTTTTGAGTAGCTGCACAAGACACACCAGGTGGCAGCGGCAGGTCCAACCACAATGGAACCGAAGGTACCTGCGTCCTTACATCAACACAAACAGCAAGCAACACGTCAGTCAGCTGGGGCTCCAAATGTAAACAGTTTGCCTCTAGACAATATTTTGAGAACAGTAACTGTAGCGCCGCAGTTTATGACAGAATTCAGTGGTTCTGTGTAACAGGAGAAGAAAACAGTGGACATTACAAAAATTGTCTTCAATCTTATGAAGCAAAATGACCACTGGAGTTCATATGCAGAAGCTACAAAAGATAGGGCATGATCTGTTGTACTGAGCCTGGATTGACAGAGGTCCTGTATGTATTGTATATATACGTACATTAATGGCATAGCATGTAAAATATACTCGTATTGTACACTGTACATTGTAAAAGACAGACTCGTCCTGTCATCAAAGAGGGCACCCCACATCAACAAACCCGCAACTGCCAGGCAGAACGAAAATATAAGGTCTTAGGTCCCAAATGGGTACTTGACACCAAGACAGACTGGCCGACTGACCGTCGGTCGTAACATAACTTTGACTTTGAATAGCTGCACAATTGGCGGTTTCTCAAGAAGAGCTCAGCTCCATGAAATTAGTTTAGTTTTTTATTATTATTTAATCACCCTAAAAATATTACGACAATATGACAGATCTTGTTTCTCTCAAGTGAGCCGACTTCTAATATTTCGAGTGGTGCGACAATGATATTGTCTAAGCCTTCGGAAGATCAAAATGCACCAATCAACGGCGAATGTTGTTAATGGTTGTTGTGCGATGTGGAGCAGTACATGCAGGCATATAGCAATGGCTGCAGGCTGTGATGAATTATGAAACCGCCTCGCTGAAGGTAGGGGGCAGTCTGACTTCAAGGAAATACCTGACCGACAGTAAAAACCCGTGCAGATCATTTATCCACGGTTTCTTCATGTGCTGCAACTGAAATTACGCCCTTAGTTTTTCAGCTGTGTAATTAATCTGAGCCCTGCCGTGTCTTGTTGCGGCCTGCATGCAGGCATAGACACAGTGGCCCAAATGATCACTTCTTCATTTGTGCGCAGACTGCGTCAAGGTGGAGGTAAACTTGTCCTCTGTTGACACCACACGATGAAGAAGTGTGGGGGTAATGGATGTACCGCTCCATACATTTTTAACATTCACACAAGATAGAGGTGAGTGATTCCAACTGGCACTTTTCCAAGGCTCACATTGGTTCGTGAATTATGGAAGGCTTTCATATCCTCTTGTGCTTATGACTATAAAAAATTATCCAGGCAGCAGGAAGAAATCATACAGTAACATGAGAATGCAAATGTTGTAATATAGGACCAGGTGAAGCCAGCCACAGTATATATAAGAGGCTTCAACTTGGCAGCGGTCAAGCTTATGACCGTTCAAGTGACTACGCTGCCGTTATAGCATAAGTTAAGTAAGATAAGTCTGCGCCATAGCTCAAGCGGTTAGTCGATGGCTTCTCAACGCGGCGGCCTGGGTTCAATCCCGGGTCTGGTCAAGTGGGATTTGTGGTGGACAAAGAGGCGCTGGGGCAGGTTTTCTCCGAGTACTTCGGTTTCCCCTGCCAATCTTCATTCCACCAATTGCTCCACAATCACCCTCACCTATCATCTGGGGCTGGTACAATAGGCCAGAAGTGGCAGCAGTACAAGGGACTTACTCCCACCCCACTAGCAATAAAAAAATAAGAAAGATGAGGCATATTATTTTGTGCAAACCTTGGGCTGCTAAGAGGCACCGTATTTATTGTAAACATGCTACAGCGTAAATGCCAAATCATTGTGCAATGTTTATATAGGACACTGTATGGAAATGTGTATACAAGTATGTTACGGTTGACACGGACTAGGACATATGACAATTGATCGATCCGTCTTCTCGCCAGAGAGGACGTTCCAAGACGACTATGTTTGTAACAGATGGACTTGAGACTTGAAATATGGCCACGGACGCCCAAAGAAGGGGATCGGCACCGAGAAGGACCGATTAACTGGCTATGGTGCTGAGGTGGCTGCATCGGTCAGACAGCCTGTCAGGATAAAGTGGCGAAGAGAAAATGGCTTGTCCCTGCCAGTATCCTAACCTGATTCAGCACCCAAGCCAGTCACTTTATTGGCTGAGCTATCCCTGCTTCTTTCTTTCGGTCATTTTGTCACCTCTCTGATAAGGAATGGCAGGTCCATTGGTACATCACGTCCGCGTTTCCATTCCATGCTATAATTTCGAGCTACCCGGCAGATTTCTATGAAACCTGGCACGAACGCAATGACACTAGAGACGACCCTGTGTACATTTTAAGTTTCGTCAGTAACATCATGGAGGTCATTCGAACTTCGAGATGAAAACGGGCTAGTGACCCTGAATCTTTCTGCTTAATATACGTGTAGATCTTTCAACCCGATCACAGTGGCCGCAATGTCTAAGGCATGAACTGTCTTCGCTCTCTCGAATGCTGGGGTCGTGAGTTCGAATCCCACTCGAGGCATGGATGTATGTGTGTGTTTGTGTTGTTCTGTGTGTAGGTAGCGGCCTTGAGACGAGCTGATCCCGCATTCAAGGAGTACTACCGACTGTGTATACGATTGAGAACCTGAAAAAGTAGGCAAGATCCAACAAAACGCTGTAGAGCCATAGATAGATAGATAGATGTCCTCGTGCCGTGACGTCATTTACTTCTTTCGTCAGGCACAACACGGTAGAACAGCACTGGTTAGAAATGCAGGCTTTTAGCAGAGGATCGAAACGCAATTTGCACTACTATGTCAAAGACTTGCTTGACAGCTCCCTTGGACATGCACTGTAGCTCTGACCGATCCTCTCCGATCCATAATTAATACAAGATACCTCAGTCGATAGAGCAACTAGGCTACAGGGTGGACGACCGAAGAATCTGGTCTCGGTTACCGGCAGGGGTAACAAATCTACGTCTTTTCCACGAAATCCCAGGAGGATCTGAGGTCCATCCTGCCTCCTATCCTGTGACTATCGGGGTACCTCTCCTCGAAGGTGAAGTAACCGGGGTCTGAAACTGGCCCCTCGCCCCGTGTATAAGAAAGGGTAGAGCTGTAACTCCACTCCTCCATACGCCTTTACATCATCGTGCTTAATTAGGCAGAGGGACTTCACATTTACTTTCAAAGAATATCTTTATATATGTGTTTGGAATTTATGCCTCAAGGTAAAAGGTAAGATAAATTTGTCTCTGTGCTTAACTAATTAACCACTATGCCATGAAGACGTATGGGGTAGTGAATATATAGATGCATGTTTCCTTGACCTCAGCAATAGTTGGAGGTGAGTGGTCAGCTTCAAGTCCCGGCCGCTTTACCCCCGGATAAAGAGACCCTGGTTCCAATTGGATAGGAGGCTACATTGGCCCCAGAACCGGTCTAGACGACACTAAGAAGAGAAAATTCTTACCCCTATCGAAACACGAACTCCGAACCCTCGGTCGTCCAGCCCGTAGCCAGTCGTTGTACCGACTGAGCTATCCCGGCTCCCTATGCCTTGAGGCATAATCTTTAATTATCCTGGCTAAGACGAATTGCGAATCAACATACATAGATGGGATCGCCCAGAGGGCGGAATTTCCATATTTCAGGAAGATGGTACCTGGCAGAAGGAACCCACATTTTAACAAGAGATCCGAACCATGGTGTTTGCTTGGTATTCGCCATATATGCGTACATAACATTTAATCTTTTCAGGGGTGAGAAAGAGGAAGGCATGTCGAATGAATCTCCACTTAATCAGTGAACCTGTGGATCACGAACACTGCTTGTTGCTTTACAGAGGAAGTCGATTTAGTTGGCAGGTTACAGCATTGCAGAGGGTTATTATCTGGCCGATGTGTGTTACAGGGATGCTAGTGCTCATCGGCAACCCCCGACGCTGGTTAGTGGTTTTAGTGGTGATTCTGGTGGCGATGGGAGTGGGCGTCGGTGTTCCGCTCGCACTGCGAACCACGAGTGACGCTGGCACCTCGCTACAGGAGCACATGGAAATGGCAACACGACTCTTGCACGAAGTTCCTCTAGTGGACGGGTGAGAGTGAATATAACCTGCAAGTTATTGCCTTCGGTCCAGCACACCGATTCGCGAAATGCAAATGACTTTCCACTTGCCGTATATGTACGACTATATAACAAAATTATGCAGGCATCAAGCAGAAGTCATTCTAAATCCTGACAATGCAAATGTTCGCAATATTAGACAAGACGAAGCCCCACATAAAAAGTACAAGAGACTTAAACAGGGCGGTGGTCAAACATGCGACCGTTCAAGTGACTAGACTGCCGTTGTAGTGGAAGTTACTAGAAATAGAGCATAATCTGCTGTACTGAGCCTGGACTGACAGATGCCTTTTATACTTGTATATAGTGTATGTACATGCAATTATTAACGTATATAACACGTAAAATGGAAATATATTGTACATTATGACAAATGAAGTCTTACTGCAAACAATGGCTAAGACAGACGGCCCTCTCGTCAGAGAGGGCGCCCCACAAAGACAAGACAGTAACTGTCAAACAGTAACTAATATCTGGCCGTGAGTCCTGAATGGGGCTCGACACCGAAAATAGATGATTGACTGACTGACTGACTGACTGACTGACTGTCAGTCGCAAAGTGACAATCCACTCCTTCGTTCCACAAGAGTCCCAACAGAATGAAGAATGCGCAGGCAATTTTGGTCGGCAAACATTAAGGGAAGATTCCACGCTGGAGACCCAGGAGTACGTAGGTGGAAAGGTAATATCGAAATGAAAGTTAGCACATGCTCTCCATTACATGCTTTGCGATTCCGCATAACTCGTTGATGGTTTTATTCAGTTATTGCAGGCAGAATTTTTTTTTTCAAATTAGTCGCACTACAGATAGACCGATTGCTCTAGTAAGGTAAAGTTAAGGCCACGCCATAGCTCAAGCAGCTAGTCGCTGGCTTCCCACCGAGGCGGCCTGGTTTCGATCCCGGGTCTGCTCAAGTGAGATTTGTGGTGGACAAAGTGGCGCTGGGGCGGGTTTTCTCCGAGTACTTCGGTTTCCTCTGCCAATCTTCATTCCACCAAATTCTCCATCATTATAATCACCCGGGCAGGCTACAATAGGCCAATCAATGGCCGCCGTGCTGAGTGGACCCAGTTGGACTCCAGCCCCCACTAAGGGAATAAAAAAAAGGTAAAGCTATTGCAGTAACAGGCCGTTGAGACCCATAGGGTTGTGAAACGTCGAGGCTTCCAAATTTTCTAGACAATCGGCTCACAGATGACGGTGAAGTTGTCAGCTTACGCGCCGGTCGCCCTTTACTCCCAGGAAGATTCCTGGTACTCATTTCTGTTAGAAGCTGAGTCTACTCCAGGGACCTAATATGGCTGGAAGGATTACGTCAATTGAAAAATCCAATGACCTCATCGAGAATAGAACTCATGACCATTCGGTATGTAATATAGTGCCTCAACTAACTACTATACCGCGTGCCTCCAATTGTTTTATACCGATATAAATTAATTGTTTGCTTATCGTTAATTATTCGTCATCTCGAAAAACATTTCAGATAATAGTTGTTGATCTAATAGAGATCTGTAGGCTAAATTATGTCATTTACTGTCGCCAATTTTTGTACTATGAGATATTTTGAGGAAATATGCCTAAAATCATATCTGGGGTTCAAGTCGAATTATACTGGACCGATATAAACCAAAATTATATGGGCCCAACAAATTTTAGTGTAGATTTCCAACATTAAATTTAATCAAAATCCGTCAAGTATGTTTGGAAGTAGAACGTGAGTATAGTATTCTCGAATCAGGATTATTATACCGTCGAGGGCACAATGCTTTCCTTCTCTTCACATTGCCTGACACTTAACGGAGGACAGGTCATAATTTATATACTTGACCGCAGCGTCACGTAAGTCAATGTATGTTTTCAGATTTGAAGGACCTGATCTTGAAGTTATATTTTTAATGACACAATCAGAGTCAGCCAAGTGTTAGCTGAAATCAGTAGCGAGAAGAACAGTTACGTAGGTAAATTAGGTTGGAAGAGAACATGAAGTAAGACGGGGAATGAAATTACGTGTCAGATATTTGAGTTCCGAGTCATAAACCCGAAAATTTTGAGCGCAAATGTCTAATAATGGGTGTTAATTTTACAGAACCGAAAATCCATAAATTCGGGAGTCAAAATTCATAGGTCGAATTATGTAGGACTGTAGGCCTAGCGTCAGACCGGTATCTTGAGCTCTAACGTGAGCACGTCACTTTCCAGCGGAGTTGTGACAAAAACAAGCGAGTGGTTAATTGTCCACGTCTATCAAGATGCAATCGATTCATCAGGCCGTGACTTCGTGCATACGGTCGAGTGCTTAGCCCATTGCTTCATACTCGCGAGAACCGTTCGGAGGCCCGTTGCCCTGACAAGATTTCCGCAGTTTTCCTCAGTCCTTCAGGGTAATAGTATCTTGAAAGAGACCATGGTTATTTTCTCCCACGATTTTTACCTTCATTAGTGACGGGACTACATCATCTTTCCATGGATTCTTTACCCCCGGGAGACAGCAAGATGAAGGGTTATAAAAAATTCTGGAGTGTGAAACAGTGTAGTTTGGTAGATGGTACTAGTGTTTAAGATGAATATTCTGCTTCTGTGTTCAGGGTTGAAGATGGAGGAAGCAGGTTTCTCCTATGACATAAAAATTTTTATTTTTATATTGCAGATAAACATTTTTAGATGTACTAGTTTGTAGAAAATTATTTTTACTGTAAAATGTAATACAGATAGGGTAGCGGTGCCCGGAAATATCAATGACACTTCGCCGGTCCGTGAATCAGAAAAGGTTGGTTAAGAATCAGTTTTATAATGTCAAGTTTCTTATCGATAAGAAATGGTGCCAGAGATCCAAAATTGCCCGATGGATCTAATGACATGTCTGAAGCTGCACATATTGACACAGTTCATAAGTTATTGACCTGTGTGTGTGTGTGTGTGTGTGTGTGTGTGTGTGTGTGCGCGCGCGCGTACCTGCTGTTTTGAGACCGACACGAATGGCATTTATTTCGACTGGGATTTTACAAATTTCTCGTTTAAAAATAAGCAAAACCAAACGGCACTGAAAAGAAAATTGACGCGTTTCCGTGTAGCAGTTGTCTATGGATGACCATATTTTCCAGAACTCTGTGTGGAAACGGAAATAAATGGGTCTTATACAAAAATCAGATTATGATTTGATGATCTATTCTATTACTAAATGACTGCAGATGTCAATAGAAAAACAAAACTGTAAACACCGGCGCCAGCTGACATCTCAGTTCGGTACCAACGACCATCATATTCACACTGAAGCACAATCCGGAACAAAGAGTTGTGTTATCAGTTTGTGTTCCAGACACAACGATCTGCCGTGGAACATCCGAAAGTTCCTGCATAACCGACTTCGAGACTTCCGTTTCGGGGAAGACCTGCGTAAAATAGTGCCTTGGTCCAGCAGTCCCTGGTCGCACACAGACTTGCCAAGACTACAAGCCGGACTAGTGGCAGCACAGGTCAGTACACTTTACATGTGGCGTCCCTCCCTGTGCTCTGTATGATGGCTTGATGATCACAGCCGTTTTTATGGTCCATAGCCATCGCTCTTTCTTGGCAATAGCTTCATGCACCGAAAGCAAACACCATATGTCACGCCGGTGGTAAGTAATAGAATGACTGATAAATTGCGGCTGGGCCTCGACAGCACAGTTATTCTTGGTTCCGAGTCCCACTGGACTCATGACCATATTTTACTCTGTGACAGTGACATGCTGCTTAACGAAGTACTGCGATTATTATTATTATTACAATTGGCTGTTACTCTATTATGGATACTGTTGCTCTCCATGTACTCACTGAGTAAATTAGAGACTTTTCCACCTTTAACGCCAGTTGTCTTAAGACTTAGCGTTTCAACAAGGTGCGTCACTGCTGCAAACAAAATCTGTAATCTCTGGACTCTTTCAATAAACATCTCCTTTGAGGATATATATATTTTTTGCTTAATCCTACTGAGTTACGACATTATTGTGTTACTTGTATTGTTTTATTGCATTGTATTAAGTTTCAGTCTACTTCTAGTTCTATTTTTAGCTCTAGCCTTTGTCTAGCTTTTGTTGTCTACATTTTCAGTGCTCCCCTGTTGTAGCCAATCGCTGTTGGCCAGCATTTAAATAAAGGAATTGAATTACTGTTGTTATCATTATCGTTATTGATATTTTTACACTGATAAAATCAATAAAAATGTAGTATTAAACACCTATTGAACTATACGTTTAAATACTCAGGCATAAAATATTCGCTTTAACATTTATTCCGAATCTGTGTTTCCAAAATTCTGAAACGAATTCCATATTATTCTGCCATTGCGTTGGATAATTCAATTTTACGGAATATGCATTTACAAAATAACATAATATGTATTTTAATCTAATTTTTATTCCCGTTTACTTCAAATGAAATCCTCGTGCAATGAATTTCTAAGAGAAGTGGCGCTATGGAGGAGAGAAGAAATGTGCGTCTTCTCTTACAGAACACAGATTTCAACTCTCCTCTTCGCAATTTTCTTTACTTTTAGAATTTGTTGTTGCGTGTGAAATAACTTCCCACGAGCAATTCATTCCTTAAGGAAAGCGGAGTCTACAATTCGAAGTGCGAACTGAACAGACAGGCCTGTGTATCCGGCACAATACATCGACAGGTTCAGGACAAGTAGCAAACAATTCAGTGCATCTACTGGGCAACTAAGTGTTCATGCGTGTACTGTGCCATCGATTTTACCAGACTTAGTAACAAACTAAAAATTCACTAATTTTATTCTGTACACACGAATTGTCTTCGAAGCGTATGAACCACGATTAACAAGAATGGAAACTAATTTCCAAATTAATTCTTTGCTACTTTATATATTTTATTGAATTTAATTTTAATTCATTCTTTACGCAAATACAGTATTGTAGTCGTATAATTTCAGTTTATTTATACTTCTCAAATAATATATTATATGATATCTCCATGTTAGCAGTCCACTTTAGTTTTACCTTTTTGTTGACATATGCAATCACGATAAATATTTAAACCTCGAATGAGTATTACACATGTAGTACTAAAAACACTAAGTTCCATCGTTTTTCAGTAAAAGTTAAATTAGCAAAATAGATTGTTTAAACATATAACTACCGTATTTACGCATGTATAGGCCGCACATTTTTTGCCAAAAATTCAAGAGGAAAACTGGGGTGCGGCTTATATTCGAAATATTCGAAATCACACTTCATTTAATCATATTCATTTCGGAATAATTTCTACTCCTGAAATAATATTCCAAGAAAATTATTTTTTCTATAATTTCTGTCTGAAAATTGTACTGCGGCCTATACACGCACGCGGCCTATACATGCGTAAATACGGCATGTATTTTCTTCAACAACAGGAAGAGAAACAAATGAAGCTGCGTTATGTTGCAGCTACAAATATCTGTAACTCAAAAGCACAAGAATGGGAGAGATGCGATACATATGTTCACTTGCTCTTACGTTTCAGAGATGCAAAAGGCCGTGGTTAGTCGCTGCCTTCCCACCGCGGCGGCCCGGGTTCGATCTCGGGTCTGGTCAAGCGGAATTTGTGGTGGACAAAGTAGCGCTGGGGCGGGTTTTCTCCGAGTACTTCGGTTTCCCCTGCCAATCTTCATTCCACCAAATTCTCCATCATCGTAATCACCCGGGGCAGGCTACAGTAGGCCAATCAGTGGCCACCGTGACGAGTGAACCCAGTTGGACTCAACCCCCCACTAAGCGAATTTAAATTTAATTTTTTTAATGTTGCATTCACATGTAAGAGCAATAAAATATTTTCACGTGATAGAAAGATTATAGACGGGGTTTGGATTATTATTCGGATTTATTGAACACTTTAACACACAACTCGTGACTACATTTTACAAATCGCTCTCAAACACAGAAGATTGGCAGGGGGAACCGAAGTACTCGGAGAAAACCTGCCCCAGTGCCAGCCACTTTGTCCACCACAAATCCCACTTGACCAGACCCGGGATCGAACCCGGGCCGCCGCGATGGGTAGCCAGCGGCTAACCGCTTGAGCTATGGCACGGCCCAACCTCAGTTTATGTTCCTCCCTTAATTTCGGACACCAAGTTCCACACCCATACGGAACCACAGGCAAAATTATAGTTTTATATATTCTAATTTTTATGTTTTTGGACAGCAGACGAGAAGACAGAAGGTTCTGGACTGAATGGTAGCAAGCATTACCCGAATTCAATCTCCTTTTAATTTCCTCCTCAATCAGGTTTTGATTTGTTATCATCGTTCCCAAATATCAGAATTGTGCCACATTTACAAGCTTAAAATTTATTGCAACTGCTTCCTAACTAATTCATCATTCGTAACCATTTTACCATTCGACGCTATATGACCTCGAGAAATAGTTGTTTTATTAACAAAACCCAAACAATAATCTAGTGAAGGAAATTACAATCAAGGCGGTCGGAAATGAACTTGTTAGTATATAATATAAATTATGAACTTTTAACACTGTTTATTTATATCACAAACCTTGGGCGTGTGAGACTCCAGGTGATTTTAAGGACAATTTTATGAGAAAGAACGAGATAGCCAATTTTAAAACTGGCTCCAGCGCCCAGACTATAACGTACATTTCTGTGTGCTGACTCTTGAGGCGAGAGTGTAAGTAAACTGTTTTCACACGTGCGCAGTGTTTAGTGGGAACTTGACGTGTGGCTCCCATAGCATTTAGCCGGCAGCATGCAACATTCATGTTGACCATGTTACTCAAAAATGCAGGAGACGAATATATGCATTATGCAGACGTCTGGCTGTTCATTCATTATTTGTACCGCTTTTCTTATCGCTTCCCCTGCCAAGAAAGAAATCTACCTGTCACAGCTCACCTCGAGTTCTGACATGGCTTGGGGCTGTGCAGTGTATGTATATATACTCCGTTCGTTTATCAACGGAACATTACACAACAAAGGAGGATGTAAGATTTATCAGAACAGGCTACTGTACTGGTAATGTTTTGCACATGTATTCGAGAAATACCTAGTTATAATTTCAGCAGAATAACCAGTTCCCTTGAATTTTGCTTTGATTATTATTCTTCTGCCTCTCACGACGAATGCAGTGCTAGTGCACTTCAAATAAGCCATGGCGGCTACATTTTACTGCTTCACCATTCATGATCATTTACACATTTCTTTGAATGCTATCCTATACGTCATTCCGTTAGCTTTCTTATTCAAGGTACAACGTGGTTTACTCTCAAAGATGCGTTAGACGGGAACTAATTATGAAGTTGTGTATGTTCGTCACCATGTTTTATCTACGAAGTTTTTTGATGAATTATGTTAAATTTGAATTCCATTTTTTTATATAAATGGCTCCCCATACGAAAAAAAATTGTAGTTTTAAGTGTCCCAAAATAGGTAGCACAAGAATTCATACTTTTCGTTTAAAATAGTTTAAGAAATGACGAATACTTAACCACACAAACAGAAATAGTCTTTATTCTGTATAGCGTAAATAGATTTTCAACAACAAAATTGTATTTACAATACACGAACATCATGGTCAATTATGTGTGTAACCCCCCCCCCCCNCCCCCCCCCCCCCAAAAGAAAGAAAGAAAAAAAAAAGACTTTGGAAATTGGGCTGAATGGAGCACGAATTTCATTGTTGTCATTTCTAGCTAGGAAACACAGGACTCAAACTCATTTCCACTGAAGTGACAAGAGTCTGCTTGTGACAAAGGGATATCGATGTCATTTATCGCGGCTCGCGGACTCCTGAGGAGACGCATGACATGTGGAACGCGACTAAACTCTAAAATGCGATTCAGCAATAGACAACTGAGAGTAGAGAAAGCAACCCAACTTTGTTATGTGATTGCCTCAGACCCTGCTCTACGGTTCAGGACTGATTCTTGGTTTACCACAAGAAGTATTTCAATTTCGTAGGTATATAATGTCCTTGCGACGGGCTGATAACTCGTCCAAGGGTCCTGCCGTCTGGCCTATTTTAGGGTACAGTCTCAGAATTCGTCTAGGACTGAGAAAATCACCATAAAAACTAAGTAAGAAAATGCCTTCGTATCAAGATTCGAACCCGAGGACCTGCCAAACACGCAGCAGGAGCCTGGACGTTAGGTTACTACGTTCTGTGTGTGTGGTTCGGAGACAGTACGACGGAATGTTCCTGCTGTGACGTTAATTTGAGCGTATGTTGGGCTGGCGTAATGAAGTATTTATTTGGAAGTACGGAAATAATAAGATAAACCCGTCCGTTTATGTTACGTCAGGTAGCCTCTTGATGAACTCACTCATTTTGACGAGAATCTAGACAACAAACGAAGTAATAAGACAATCAATACGTTTCTAACATGGAAGCACGAAACAGAATGGGTAAAAATCACAAAAAAATATTAAAAGTATAAATTAACATTGATTCAGTCCCCAATTATTTAGACAGTGATGAATGTCGTTGGACGTCTATATATAGCCGATTTCCCGAAAAGCTTCATTGCACTTACAAGCTGTGAAAGCTTAAAGAGCATAACATGCCCCAGTATATGTGGTTACAACATATACGCTTAAATGTATAGACGATTCGGTCAGAATCTGAGAAGCCACAGTATCAGTTTTATGCACGTAAAGTTAGAGGAACAGGTCATTCTTTTCTTTCAATATGTGCCCGAAAATGATTCGGAGGTTATTAAATTCCGCCATTGAGATATTTAAATTTGAAGAAATTAAATTCTGAAATTATGCACACAAAGTGGGTCTAGTTTTCCTTAATTTTCACGTACTTCAAGCACTAATGACAGACAATACAGCTAAAAAAAAGGATTCGGTCAATTTAGCATTCAGGCATACTGGAATGGTGAATCATCAGAACCAGATTTCAAGAGAAAACGACTGGGGCGGTTACCCCGGGCCCTCCACAGAGCAGAAATATAAGTCACAGATTTTATTGAGACATTAGCCGCTTCAAAATCGCGAAAAATTATTTTGTATTTCAAGTTATTGCAAGAAACAACAACAAAATTGCCACAAATGAAATTTCTTGTTACTGATAGTGTCCTCCATATTTTGATCCCTCTTAGGGCCCCCAATAACAGAAAATTCCGCCTTGTGGATCAAGTGACATGATTATTTTTTGCAGTTCTGGGCGGCATATGTGCCATGCGAATCCCAATTCCTGGATGCTGTTCAGTTAACCTTGGAACAGATCGACGTGATCCGGCGATTCACAGAGCAGTACCACCCCACACTAATACTGTGCACGTCAGTTGCTGGTGAGTGTCAAGGACCACAAGTCTTTTTAAAGACGCCTTGATGACATGCTACATTCTAATATAGCTTTAAAAGTGCCTATGGTGACCAGTTGTAACTGACAAAATAATCCTCTTTACAGTCGTGCCAAACCTACAAATGCCGAAGTTAGTGTACACAATATTTCAGACATCATCATGGATTATTTATCTAAGATTGTAACTAAAACTTGTTGAAGATTAATACTGGACATTTGAAATCAATGACATTAAAATAAAGTAGTTTAAGTTTCCATTAAAAAATGATAACATCAATTCGGTAATCTTATTCAATCCCGTCTTTTCTGAAAGGATTTGCATAAAATTTGGTACTGGGGAATTTTAGTTAAACCTGTCGGCATATTCAGTTGCTGGTAGAAATCGAAGAAAGACAACGCTACGCTTTGCGTGGAAACCTAAATGCGTTTCTGCGCTTATCTCGAGTGTGACTCGTTAAATATATTTCGAAGATAAATTTTTTCGAAAGCAGCAAATCGTGCAATTTCCGGGGTAATTAAAAAACACGGATTCTTACGCGATGTCAACTTGTATATTCAACAATAAACAATGGTCCTCTGAACACAACCGAAGATTCTCGAAGTGTCTTATTCTCGTAAATAATTAAACCAATCACCCTCCCACGCATAAAAATAATAACAGAAAATTAGTCACTGAATTCAGACTGCACTGAATGTGGCACTCTTATTACAGCGTGACTTTTAAGCATATATTAAACAAGTAATATATACATATTTAATTTACAAAAGCATACCAATCCTTCAGATTTACCAGACTCTGGGTAGGAAATCTCAAATTTTCAACACTGTTAACATCAAAGCCTACCAGTGAACATTATCTTAAGTCAGGTCTATTAACCACCATCACCACTTGTTCTCCTGATGTAAGGGTAATTTTGTCCCTGTGTTTAACTAAGCACACGGCTATGGAGACATATTACTGCAATTAACTATGCACCACCTCATGAAACACATGAGGGGGTGAACTAGACCTCCATGCAATCTTAACCTTGGCATTAATTGGAGGTGCATGGTCAGTCAGCATAAATGTAACCACTTCATATCTGGTGCACATACTCACGGTATCCATGGGCTAGGCGAATGGTCGTGCCCCAGGTTTACTCTGGATATGACAGGAAAGAGACAAACTCCCTGACCTTGCAGAGAACAGAACCCCAATCATCCATCCTCTAGCTTGATCACTATAATTGTACTGACTTATGATCCATTTAAATATTATTCTTTTATCTGTGTCTACATCTACAAAGCGATCTCTTCCCTTACACTTCCCATGGACATCTCATCCTCTTTGGTCATCCTAATAATATTTCGTTAAAAGTATAAATTATTAAGCTACACATTATATGACTTCTTTCTTCCTCCAGTTACTTTCTCTTTAGTCCTTTCTCCTCAACACTTTATTCTTAAACACTCTCAAAATGTGTTATTTCCTAGAGTTAGGTTTATGGCACTGAATATGTAAACAATAATTTATGAACATCATCTACAGCTAACTTATAAAGCCAGTTCTATTAAGAGGAATTTACAGACAAGTTTCTCCCAAGCTGTTGTCATCTCACATGCGCTTCAAGTTTATTATATGCTATTAATTTTGTGTGCTTAATTATCAAGGAATCTATTAAATACAGGAAGGACAAATATGAATGTTGCAGATATCAAAGCAGCTCACACTAATGGACAGCTGTGCAGTCTCATTGGTGTTGAGGGTGGACATTCTTTGGCCAGCAGCCTTCCTGTGCTGCGGACACTGTACAGTGTTGGCGTACGATATCTGACACTCACGTCCAATTGCAACACACCATGGTAATTATGTCCAAGACATACGATGTCTTACATGAATTGCATAAATGGTCATGTCTGAGTGTTAAGTTCATTTCGATTTGTAAGAGTTCTTTCTGCAGTTACTGTTACCACTTCAATACAAATCATGAATACAAATTGCATAACTGAAAAATGTCTAAATGGGAAGTTCTGGAAAGAATTTGTAATATTTTCTTCCCTTGAAATATTGCAACCTGTATGGTGAGGCTAGTAAGAATAATATATCAATAATTATACAATTTATTGAGCCATTTCTGTACATAACTTCTATTAACAGAGAATCAGGCTTTGAAACATTAGTACACATATAACATCAGAGTCTCACACTGTTACTAGGTTTGTAATTGTTAGCCAGTGGACAATATTCCACATCATTAATTAAGTATTGCCATAAAACAAAGTGAATAGAAGTGTAATTATATGACTGACATCTCCTTGAAATACAACATAGAAAATGAGGAAATGGTAAAAGATATTGCTGTGCCCTGGAAGACCTGTCTTCCTTCAAGTGGATACACACATTCAAAACCATCTGTTGCATGCCTCAGTTCACATCAAAGCGAACAACCACTAACAACAGACTATATTCAGCCTTACCCACTCAGTATCATTGAACACATGCATAAGTCTGCATGCTATTAGTTACATACAAGAACATTACTGTAATAACTGATTATGGGGCTTCTTTCTTTGGGCCCAGCATGTGGCAACTGTGTCAGGGTCACTGTTTGTGAGAAAGAAATCCTCTGACTTTACTGCCGAATCCTGTATACCACCTTCTATTTTTCTCAGCTAATGTATTTTTGCCTTCACATAAATATAGTATGTTGAAAAGAGATGGGAATAGGCCAAGTCTTGATAAATGTTTTTACCAGCTGTCACTTTCAATTTAAATTTCTGAAAATCAGTTTCTTTCACAGTTGCCAGGATATTTAAAAAAAAATATATAATATTCATTGACAGGGCTGACTCACTGCTTGTAGATGGCCCTGGGAAGCGACCAGAGCACAACGGACTCACCAACTTTGGAAAAGTAAGTATGCAATGGAAATAACGTGTAAACAAAGGGTTTCTTTGTAGTTAAAATTAAACTGATACAATTGTCTGCAACTGAAAGCAACTAACAAACTTCATAGAGCAGAGCCATTCTTCAGAACCTCTGCCATCTGGTGAAGAGATTACATATTTTTTAAGAACCTAAAGGTTCATTACTCTGTCCACAATATCTTGCCACTGGACCCTGTCCTTGAGCCAGTTAAATGCAGTTCACATCCCTACATTCTATTTCTTTAAGATTCATTTGAATATTATCCAACCATCTATACCTACAACTATTCCCTTCAGTTACTTGGTTGTTTATTATCAGTCTCAGCAATGTAAATCTATTTAGTGCTTAAGTCAAGAATGGTGGAGCTACAAGTATACCTCCACTCCCCCATATATCTTCATGGCATAGTGCTTAATTAATTAAGCAACTTTACCTTTTACTTCAGTAACACAACTTCCATACATGTTTCAGTGGATGAGTGGTTACTGCTACACTGTCATGCAGGTATATAACATGTTGTGCCCTTACATGACCATCCTCAGATGTATCCTGTGTGATAAGTTGTTTCACCATTTAACTCAATTCATTGTGGTCCATCACACTAGCAAACTAAATTGTAGAATAATTATTAACACCATCCAATGTGATTCAATTTATAGATATTTATTGCCTTCACATATTTCGGTCAGCTGACCATCATCAGCAGGCATAAGATAAACATGTTTCACCATATCAACTTCTTATGAAGGAAATCACCAATTAAACTCACTTAGAAGTTGAAAGATAGAAATTAATGAAAGTACATTTAAGAACTGAAGTGGTAAATTATTCTAAGATTTCATTTTTAGATGATGAACACAATAGTGCATTTGTCATATGTGAGCTTCCGATATAGTCCTGTTGTTGGTGTCTCTTGGTTGTTGAGTGTGGTCTTCAGAGTGAATGAAAAATATCCTTTGGAGGTTGAGTAGTTAATGTACCTCATTTTATGTCAATTTTGTTACAGTTATATTGACACTGGCCCAGCTTTATTTCAAGTGGTGTTTGTGGTTGGTGAGTGAAGACTCACATTTCTTGGTCAAAGTATTGTATGAATTTCTCATCTCTGTACATGTTCCACACACCTCATCCTTGATCTGGTCACTCTAATAATATCAGTTAAACGGTAGAAATTACAAGACTTTGTGTTATGGAAAATTTTCCATCCTCCTGCACCTGAAAATAAAGACTGCATTAGTGCAATGCTTTCACTGTGTGTTTTGTTTCTGCTTTCATATTATAAGTGTCAGGTAACTTGAACATGCGAAGCATCAATAATTCAATAATTCTTATAAATGTTATATCACAAAATCAAGTAATAAATGTAACATACTGCTGCAGAGTGTGGTTAAGGAGATGAACCGACTGGGAATGTTGGTTGACCTGGCTCATGTAGCTGTGCGTACGATGTTAGCAGCACTGGAAGTAAGCGGAGCTCCTGTCATCTTTTCCCATTCTTCAGCTAGAGCACTATGTAATACTACAAGGAATGTGCCTGACCATGTTCTCAGGCTTGTGGTGAGCTCCATGAGTATGCTTTAATCAATACAACTAATGTTTACACACACTTTAAAACTGATGGGGCCATTTGATCACAACAAACATTACAATAAAGCATATATTCCTTGCTTTTGTTGACAGACTTTTTGTTTTTCACAGACAACTCTCACATCCTACAAAATACAGAATGTAATATGCCTTTAATGTAAATAACTGTTGTGAATTTCTGCTTGCTAGTTCAAGAAATATTCCTTGCTTTTGTTGGCAGACTTTTGTTTTTCACAGACAATCTCTCACATCCTACAAAATACAGAATGTAATAAGCCTTTAATATAAATAACTGTTGTGAATTTCTGCTTGCTAGTTCAAGAAATATTCCTTGCTTTTGTTGGCAGACTTTTGTTTTTCACAGACAATCTCTCACATCCTACAAAATACAGAATGTAATAAGCCTTTAATATAAATAACTGTTGTGAATTATTTCTTTATGCTCTGCATGGAATTTCATACTTGAATAATACTACTGACATGTGAGAGCTCTGTAATTGACCATCAGGGCAATGAACTGGGCTCTAAAACTTCAGAAACAAATACAACATAAGATTTCTGTTTGTAGGCTCTGAAGGGTGGCTTGGTGATGATCAATTTCTACTCCCAGTATCTGACATGTCGGAACACAGCCACTGTGGAAGATGCCGTTGGTAAGGTTATTTTTCACATTCAATTGAGATTGGAATGTCTGGACAAGAAGCAGCACTTAGAGATGTGTGCATATTCTTTCAAACAAGATACCAATAACATACTGACATTGGAGGTTGGTATCTTGTTCAAGCAAATCAAATTCTAGCATTTAGCCAGAAAAGTGGAATTTGTGAGGGAATTCTAAAAGTTTTTGTATTTAACTGTAAACATTTTTAAAGCAACATGTCCAGGATTCACTTATTTACTCAACAGTAATACGTAATATCTAAATTTGATTATAAAAGGAAATAACAATATTACCTACACATTCTGAGAGTGGCAGGAGAGGTGTAGATCTGCTGAACCCTATAACATCTAGCATAGCTATGTCTTTTGCATTTGTTTTAATTTTAGCTTTGTTACAGCTCATATCAACCATGTGAGGGGTGTTGCTGGGGTAGACAGTGTCGGGATTGGTGCTGGTTACGATGGTATCAATTTGTGAGTATAAATATTGTTTGAGTTCCACAGTGACCCATAATATCTACAGCTTTTCATTATGACTTAGTGATATGAGACTACCGTTACATGTTCTGGCCATACCAGAATTACAAATGAGATGACAAAATTCAATTAAGTACGTACAACAGAAATATAGAAAGATAAAAACACTATGAATGCAGTTATAGTCTAAAGTATGTGTTATGATTTCTGACCACTTTCATGTCCTAAGATCTGAAAACTTCCCTCAGCTCTTTGTATTCAAATGTTCTTCATTTATATTCTTCCCATAGTGCAAGAGACCACCACTGAAAGGAATATTAAAAAACAGTTGCTTTGTCCATCTCAGTCATTACAGAATATTATGTTTCGTTGAATAACCTGAATTTCCTGAATTTTTTGTTTCTACTTTGTATGTATTCTTCATGCCATTAGAGAATTATTAAAATGTTTTGTTGACAGGCTTAAATCTTTCCAAAACTGTAATACAAATATTCAGAGAATGGAGAAGAAATAAATTAACTAAATGATGTAATGGAGCAGAATCCATCTTGTGAAGAGGCTAGTCACCCACCTGGTATAGAAATTCCCCGGCTTTTATGTAACTGATGGATTAATATTGGTCCATAGGACCCCCTATTATCTACTGAATCTAGTCCACACCCTCACCCACTATTTCCTTAAGATTCATCTTTGTATTTTCTTCCTATCTATGCCTATATCTTCCAAGTGTTTCTTCTCTTCTGGTTATCAGATGAAAAATATGTATATATTTCTTATCCCTCCCATGCATGCTACATGCCTCATAGAGCTTATTATCCTTGATTTGAATATCTTGTAATAAACACACATTAAAACAGGCTATTTTGATCAAATTTTTTCTTCAGGCATTTCTGCTTTAAAGAGTTTCTGTTTGCAAGAGCTAATCTTAGAACAATTTACACTGAAAATGTTACGGACTGGAGGATTTTTCCAACAGGAGTAGGTTTCTGTTTTTTTTAATTCACATAATGGGGGATGCAGTCCAGCTCGGTCCACTCAGCATGTCAGCCACTGTTTGGACTACTGTACCTGCCCTGGGTGAATATGATGATGGAGAATTTGGTGGAATGAATATTGGCAGGGGAAACCGAAGTACTCAGAGAAAACCTACCCCAGAACCACTTTGTCCACCACAAATCCCACTTGACCAGATCCGGGGTCAAACCCAGGCTGCCGCTGTGGGAAGCCAGCAACTAACTGCTTGAGCTATGGTGCAGCCGTCAGGTTTCTGTTAATCCAGATTAAAGTTTAGTGGGGTTAAACTGTGTACCAGAGCAAAGGATATTTTTTTAATCTTTTGAGCTCAGTTAAATTATTTAATTGATACAATCATTTGGTAACAACACATCTTTGGTGGTTTGTTCAGACAAAAAATTTTCAAAATCATTTTCCTCAGTTGATATCTGTTGTGCACACTGCAGACAAATTTTAAAGCTCAAGCAGTCAGTCAGTCTTTGACAGCAACTAACTACTATCAACTTTCTTTCATTTTCTGGTGTTGTGATTCATAATGTGGTGATTTTATCAACGAGTATTAATTTTTCATGAGAACGGTCATTGGTAAAATTATTAATGAACATTCCATTGCTTCCACTGTTCCAGCACCCCAGAAGGATTGGAGGACGTGTCAACTTACCCCACACTTTTTGCAGCTCTGATCAGAACAGGGCAGTGGAGCATAGAAGACTTAAAAAAACTTGCAGGCCTTAACTTCCTCAGAGTTATGCAAGATGTTGAGAAGGTATTATATCATGGAAGATTTTTTAACTCTCAACAGATGCTAAAATATTTATATGATACACCTAACCAATTCTAACTAAATGGTATATGGTATACTATTCCTTGGAATATGAACCCGAAAGACCACTACTGTGAATGGGTAGAAAGGCCCATCAAGAGAAAGAAGTTTAGTAGAAGAATATACAAGTTTGCCTTTATGTTTCAACCACTACTGATCATCATCAGTTGGTGTAGCCAACACTATAAATAAAATGCAACAGCTCAAAATGTCTCTTACAAAGTTCATTACTGTATTCACAAGAACCCATTACTGGACTCTATCCTAAGATGCTGAATTTAGCCAAACATTTCAGATATTGTTTCCCTAAGATCCAATGCAATATTGTTCTCCCATTTCTCATACTATTCAATACCAATTCCACCACCACTCCTGATGGTGAATTATTTTTATGTCTGTCTTTTCTCTCTCTCTTGTAGAAAATTACAAATTTCAAATTTATACACACTTGTTTCCATGCATATAATTTGATTTTAATGAATTATTTACTTAAACACTATATGAATATTTTAGACATGATAGATATGAAATGTACTGTAACTGATTGATGCTGAAGTTACCACTTGATGTCACACAGAATCTCTAAAGAGGGCTACACTCCACCTGTACACAGTAACACATAAAGATCGCAGCAGTTCACATGTACTGCTTCTAGATCATGATTTTGATGAAGGTGCGGAGGTATTTGATGTTGACAGCCAGAAAGACATCAGCAGTGCTTTTAATTTCTCTTCAGCAAGACTGGCTTCCTGATTGCATTATTCATAGGTAGTGTTAAAAAATGGAGAAATGGAAAACAAATATTTGTATTTATCAGATAGTCTTGGATTCCCTTATTTACTACAGTCTGTTTTATATGTAGGTAAGAGATGCCATGAGAGCAGCAGGAGTTGGTCCATATGAGGATGATGATACAAATGTGCGCCGAACACAGAAGAACTGTTCTTCAACGAATTTCTTTTAAGAATTATGCTACATTAATTTAAATAAAACATAATGAACATCAAATTGTTGTCATATTATGAAGCAGAGACTTGGTAATGAATGAAGGCAAGACTAAGCCAGCTAACCTAAAGTGTTGCAAAATCATAATCCTGACTAATATGTAGCAATAAACTTCAGTCCAGTTTTGGCTTATGCAGAAATTGCTGACTGTGAGAACAATAATATTACAAAAGTAGAAACAGGTAAGCACTAAAGAGGGTAAATATATGACATGAGTTTTTAGACTATGATTGGGACATAAATAGATGGACTATGTAATGTACAATAATTTTATGTAAAAGTATGTATCAAAATTTAATGGAAAATAATTGGAAATTGGAAAATGGTCTAGCCTGTGGGATTTCATGACAAACTAATTTTACACTACACTATGAATAAGATTTATACTTAATCACTGATAGATTAATAATATGCCTCACATATTTGAGCATCACAAAGTTAGTTCAGCATTATTTTTATTATCTTGTGTACTTTTGGTTTGTAGATATAGTTAACTAGTTTTATTATTTTTATAAACTGCTAGACAGCCACTGTGATGAAGCTCATCATGACCTGCAAAGTGTGTATGCTCATAAGACAACAGCACCTGTAAGGATGCAGCACCTCCTTTCCTTTGTCAGGATAACTTTTCATTTGAACTGCTTCCTTTATGATGTGTCACAGTGAAAATATCCAGTCAATGAACATTACTTCTGCAATGCATATTGATCAAAACATCTTGTATACTGGATCCTGTATTATGGTTATGTATTGGGTACCACATGGTCAAGAGTCTTCAATGTTGTGAAGCTTCAAGTGAAAAGAGAGTGTCATGGATCATACAAATATTAATGTAACAAATTAAGCAGTCACGGTATAATGTTAATAAAGAATGTAAATGGTAATGTAAACAAGTTAAAAGTTGCTCACTTCACTTAATTTCTTACATTATTTATATACATATATTTATACATACCTGCAATTAAATGGATGAGACATTCCCTTTGTGAATAATGTAAGGTATCTTGGTGTCAATTTTGACATGAGGATGACATGCAGACACCATATCAAAAGGACTGTAACCAGGGTCTTGTGCACATACCTAAGGGCCGGATCTCTATTCAAAAGTGTGTGTTTAAGTACAAATACTAAACTTATGAATTAACAATCAAGTTCCTTCCGTCAAATGTGACACTTTTTTAAGTTTTCCACCTCGTCACCACCTGCCTTACATGTTTCGGCTCACCACGGAGCCATCATCAGAGGCATTTATAGTAGAAAAAGAAATCACCAACACACAAAACTTCACTTTGTCAAAGATAACCACGTTCCAGTTAATTAAAATAATTACAAATAGTTAAAATTACCCAGAGTATCGGTTGACGGAAGGAACTTGATTGTTAATTTGTTAGTGTGACGGACCAGAATGAAAGACCTTAAACTAAACTTATGCTTTACAAAGCTCTGATTAGGTCAGTTATAACTTATGCCTGTCCCACCGGGGAGTATGCAGTGGATGCTCACCTCTTGAAATTGCAGTGGCTGCAGAACTGAGTACTTCATGTTACTGTAATCTTGACATGTGCACATCAGTCCATGAATTACATGTGGCTTTCAAAATTCCTTACATGTGTGACTATACAACTAAATTATGCAGGACACAGGCAGAAGTAGTCTTAACCATGTAGATCCAAACGTACAAGGTACTGGACAAGGAGAAGCCAGGCACAGGAAGTTTAAGAGGCTTAAACTTGACAGCTGTCAAGCCTACGACCATCCAACTGAATAAATGCAGTTTCAGAATAGTTGCATAAGTTAAGGCATAAGCTGCTGCACAAGCTTTCACTGACAGGAAACCTCTGTATACCTTGTATATATGTAACTTCATATAGTGCAGTGACAAAGGATGCATAGAATCCATAGTGATCTGCACACTGTAATGTGTATACAATCATGCTGAAATTACTGTGCAGGAAACAAGCATCTACATAGAAAGACTGACCCCTCTTTTGTTATGTATCTTATGTCAAATATACTATTAACAAAACTAACACCAAGGAGCACAGTTCATCTTAAGATACTGATAATCTCTTAGCTTAATCCAGCCTTTATGGAACCTATTGCCATGTTCACAAAAGCCTGCCACTTTTCATCATCCTGAGTGAAATGAATCCGGTCACTCACTATCTTCATTTTCTATGTAAGATCAATTACTAAAATGGATCCTCTCATCTACGCCTAGGTTCTGAGAGTAGTTTTCTACCTTCAGATTTTGTACTTAAATTCCATATGTTCGAGTATTTCTCATTCTTGCCACTTCTGTGACACATGGCCTTCCCATTTCATAATTTGTTATTTGATCGCCCTACTGATATACATATAATGAGTAAAAAATAAGGAGATCCTCATTATGAAAAGTTTCTCCACTCTCCAGATCACTTGGTTACAAATATTCTCCTCAGCAACCTGTTCTCAGACATTTTCAATCTATGGTCTTCCTTCAGGTTAAGAAACCAAATTTCACACCTATACAAAGTAACAGATATTATATATATTAATCTTAACAAATTATGAAAGTTGGTATAAACAGTCTTTATTTGGTACATAATATTTCAATTATTATGCTGTAAATTACATATAGATGGTCTATACACAATTTATGGGCTGAAGATAGGTTCTGGGTTTCCATGAAATTTTATAACAAACATATTCACAAATTAACACAAAAGGCTACTTATTTTTTACTGCACAAATTACATAAATTTGCCAGAAGTGATATACAGATTGGTTTATTTTCAGTCATCTTAGAAACATCATATCACGACGTACGCTAAAATCCCACACCACTGTATGTGTCTCCCTTACCCCTATGATTTTATTTATTTTCAAATAAACATGAGTTGAGCAAAAGATGATATTATTAGTTTGTAATGCAGTGGAAGATGTTTCAGGTTTTCAAAAGTTTAAGAAGCCATTCATTCTCGTCACATTAATTCCTGAACCTTTCAGTAATACAAATTCTCATGTTCTCCCTCATCCCCAGAATGATCTGCTGCAGTATTTGTGACCTACCAAGAAACAGTGAACCTTGCTCATCAATTTAGGCAGCCAATAATGCCACAGCAGATATTGGCACCCGAGTTTCCCGTCTTGATGCTCTCCTCATCATGGCTACGTCCGAAGTCGTCTTGTCCCATGTGCACGACTAGCGCTCTACCCATGACACTGCGCAGACCACCAGTCAAGCTGATGATGGGATCCAGGAACTCCACCTTGGCCACACCATCGTCTCCTGCTTTAATGTTACCCAGGTCACCCACGTGACGCATAAAGTCTTGTGGGGCACCATGCCGGTGCTGCACAGTTCAGAAACATAGATGCATAAAGTAACATAGCACAACCTAACATAATAAAACTATCTTATAGTATCGGATGAGCAGTTCATCATTTAACATGCTGTCAGTGATATAATGGAGGTATTTTACCCCTGTGCAGGTAAACTATTGGCTCTACACCTCTGAGACCATAGGTAAGCTGGGCACACAAAGAGGATTATTGGGTTGGATTTGATGTTCTTTCAGTGGTGACTATAACGACTGTACCTTTCAAACCGAACACGATTTAGAATCCCAATCCTCAGTACCACCGATGCCAAAATCTGTCATTGGATACGTTCCTGTTATAGTTTCATTCACCTCCCATTCTCACAACCTGATTCCCTTAAATCAATCTCAATGTTCTCCTCCGAAATATCAGGATTTCCAACAGGTATCCAACCCACAGTCCTGCAACAGTTTCTTGTCTCTGTCCAGCCCATCACAACATACTTGATATCACTACAAAAACAAGGAATTCTTGGATGAACTAATTGGCCTACTTTTCTTTGATATGTCATGGACCACATAGAAAACGACTCAAGCTTTTTTGTTGTCATGGGAACTTGTTTACTGAGCTGTTGCTTGCACATACAGATACATACTCATGGGAGGGATTTATGAAGCATGCCGTTGAGATGGGCTCAGGTGCATGATACGCATCGCAAGTTTCATAAAGACTAGTTCTGTCATTCAGAGTTGATAGGGTGGGATTCACAGACACACAGACAAGAAGGTGATTTCACAAGCTTACCTTTATTTTTAAAAAATTAGGGAATCATGTTAACAATACTGTGCTGTGTGACTGGTATAACTGCAATGTTTCTTACTATGTCATATTCTATGCAGCCCATGCACTTCTTTGATTTTAGATTGATCTTGTTCAGGTATTTTTTTTCTTTAACCATTTCAATTCAGACACTTACACACAGATTTTTCATTTCCTTGGAGTAAGAGACTTTGTTTCAAAACCACTTAAAGCATCTGGAAAAATTACTGCTAGGATATGACAAACCTGACTAAACGGTGACTACATTTAATTGCAAATTTGTTTAGCTGGAAATTTTCTCTTTCTCGAGAATATATAGTGAAAATAAACGTAAAGTAATCGAATATGTACTACACTGCGGGGAAACAAAAAGAGAAAAGATACATAAGAGGTTAAATAGTTCTGTCCGGTGTGACTAGCAAAGATTTTATTATTTCAATCCTTCGTCATCAGGGATGAAGGACTGAAATAAGAAAAATCTTTACTGGTCACACTGAACGGAACTGTTTAACCTCCTATGATACTGTTAGTGTGATGGACCAAAATGAAACAAATCAAAAGAAAAAAATAGTTTCAAAGGAGCGGATATTAACGGCTTTCAAAACTGTGCTTAGAAGATGATTCCCATCATAGACTAATGGGAATAAACGAAACCCGACTTCCAAGTAATACTTTAACAGATTATTCTAAGTAATGTATAAATTAAGAAACACGTGGGACTACAATAAACCTGCTCGTCTCTGTCATTCAATTACGTCTTCACATCCCACTGCCAAGTCAACATAAGGATGTCAATTCACCACCCCTCCTTTAGACTCTGATGATAGAAACTGAAATGTCTCCCCCACATTCCGCGAGGCGTATTCCCGAAACTCGAAGCTATATATTAAATAGCAGCTAAAAAAACAGACGAATAAATTCCCGATCATTTTATACCTCGTTTTTCGTTACGTCATCAAGATGAATAATCGATCATTTTCCAGTTGCTTCGATGTCGATTTATTTACAACAAACCCGATCAGATGGCACTGCTGCACATGTCAGTACCGCCATCTAGTAACTGCTATTTAAATGTCACGGTCAATCTTATTCGCGTAACACCATAAACTGGAGTAAAATTATATCAAATAGATGATATTTACAATGATAATTGTTGAAAACGCACTTCAATTATGACGATTCAATCATACAAAGTACATAAAATTTTCAGATGTTATCATATTTGAATCAGGAAGTTATGTTCATATTGAGGCTGGGAGTCGTGGCGTGCTCCTGTAATCCTGCTACTTGGAGGCCGGATGTTGAGGATGATTTGAGGACGGGAGTTCTGGTGCTCAGTCGCTCACGGTGACTAGACGTCCGCACTAAACTCGACATCAATATGGGCGCCCTGGGGGAGCCTGGGGCGGCCAGGTTGGATAATGAGGGGCGTATCGGGTCAGGGGGGGAACCCAGCAGCCAGAAGTCCCCGTGTGGAGTAGTAGTGGGTTAGCGTCTGGGAGTGGGAGCTGAGTAGCAGCCTGACCAAGAAAGTCAGACCAACATCCTTTTTTTTTTCTTCTTCCTATTCTTTTAAAAACGCAATAATACATGTTACGTATGTATTGAAATTGACAATATAAGTCAACATCGCTTTTTAATTTCCTGCAGAGCGCTTATTGCATTAAAGTCGCTCAGTCCAAACGTACTAACGGACATCACATTTGCAGGTTCACTCATTCTGGTAACGGTTACTGATGATCTGTCACTCATCATCTTCTTTCGACTGCTGCAGTAAGAACAGCCACAGCATATGTTATTAGGCTGCTCAAGAAATCACGTGTTCCTCCGGTATGACGGTATTTTGAAACTCTTAGTCACCATTTTTAACACATAATGGAGGTTTTTCAGGACAGTGTACTGAGGAATTACACAGACAAGATAAAACAATACAGGGCGGAAAAATTACATGATGGCAAGTTTCACAATTCATACTTTTTACCCAATATTTTAAGGGCGATTAAATTAAAAAGAAAAAAAGAAAACTGAAATAAGCTTACAGTGTGAAAATACACGTAAGCTCACCAAGTAGGGATTGAAGTGAGGGCCCACAGACTCACAGCCTTCTCTCATGTCACCTTTTAGGTGCACGTGGATGCCGTGTAGTCCCGCAGACAGTCCTGTCACGTTGCCGGTAACAATCACTGGTGCCCCGAAGTTGGGTTGGGTGAAGAGAATCTCTCCACTGCAACCCCCGCCCTCAGCATCTCCGCTCCCGCCGCTAAGAACAGCCAATGCCATCAACGGCTGTAGATCCTGGAAACCGAGTAAAGTACATTTCATCAGATTCCTATTTCCTGCACATGATCTTGGGAACACAGCAGTTCCGATAAACCGTATGGGCCTTCTATCAAAAGTCTCTTGAGAATTGAAGCATAACGTTGTGTGTAAAGTGAGTGTTTGTTAAACCCTTATTAATAAGGGTTTAACGTTCATTAATCAGGAATATAATAAGATAATCTGCAGAGCTACTCAGCTTCCTCAGAGCATGCTTGGAAGCTGAGGGGGAAAAAATTAATCCCTTTTCCCTATCGGGAATCGAAACCAGATTCTTCGGTCATCGATCCCACAGCCTAGTTGCTATACCGACTGACGTTTCCTGTAACAATATTAATTACAGATCGGCGAGTTTCAATCGGTGTTACAATTCATATCCAAGAGAGCTGCAGGAGTGCCTTCCTTCACACAGTAAAGCAAATTGCATTTTGAGCCTCTGATAAAAGTTCGAACCTATATCCTGTGTTGTTCTACCATACAGACCCTGATGAAAAATGGATTATGCCGCCATGTTACAATTAGGGCACATTTTTGATGTAATTTATGACACCTGTTTTCTTCAAATGATTTAATCACCCTTAATTCATCATTCATCATAAATTCTACCATTAAACGCTATATATTCTAGCTACCGACCGCATCTTAAAATAAGATGCACATAATTATCGACGATGTATGTATCTGAGACTGGCACGATGATCAGCTCTAGTGAATAATGAATTCGATCATGTGGAGAGTTGTGGTCTAATTTGAGGTTATAACCCGCATTTGCTTCGAGGGATTGATGGAAACCACGAGAAGCCTAAGTCAAGATAATGGGTGTTCCGATCGATATTCAAACCAAGCGCCTCCGAAGTGGAAGTAGAGTTATCGCTTGCTCGACATATTCCTATTCAACAGAAATACAAATTATTGAACAAAACCAGTCCCAATAAAATCCATCAAGGGGCGAAAAACAAGCTAAGAATATTTTCATTCGAAATTCGAAGAGCCAACAGCTATCAACTGTTCGAACTTGCTGAAGATATTTTGAGGATATATTGAAATACATGGGAAAAACATAACACTTATTAATGATAAATTCGGATATGACATCCATAGTTCTACCTGTTCTTACGTTACCAGGACATCGTGTTAGGCCGAATCTGCAATGAATTCCACTCGACTCTTCCAAATCCGGTTGGAGGTGCAATAACTATATATGTTAATTAGCCACACTCAAAATTTGTATTTATGTAAAATTCTCTACTTTTATATTTATAGCATTTTACTTATTTCTACGGCTACAGAGCATTTTCATAACATACATTATGCGTTACAAAAATATGCTGTAAATAATAGTGTCTGAATTTCGCAGCAGGCCCGATTTTAATTTTCGTAACCCAATTCTGGTTTGCGAGCCACACTGTGAACATGATTTTACTCTGCCAATTACTTAATCAGTCAGTGAGATAATTTATAGACATGTCACTGAGCTTAAATACGTAATCCAATAAGGAAGTTTAATGACGTAATGATTTACTGCATTCATCTGCGCGTCATGTGATCTGCCAAACTGCCAATGTCTAGAATATTGAAATAACACAGAAGTTTCAACATCACAGTGGAATTATATGTTTAAAGTAAGAAAACAGAAGTTAATTGCTATCTGTCAGTAATTATTCAATCAGCTACTAGTTTTGTATTTCAGCTTCCTGTTGCATTGATGTATCACTTTACAACCTCACTTCCGTCTTTAAAGCAATTTTGTTTACAATCACTCCTTAACTTAAAATAATATTAAACTTAAAATTAACTGCTAAATATTTCGGTCATACTTGGCCATGCTCAGTCAATTGTTGAAATTGCTAAACTGCGTTAGTTCTTAAGTTAAAATATTCAAGTGTTATTTCATTATCATCGTTCACTCGATAAAACACATTTGCTTGAGAACATCAACTTTTATCTTTGTGTGCCTCTGTTTATCTTGTTTCTCCCTTTTGCTTAATAGTTGGCTTTTTGGCTGCTGAATAAGCACAAAAATAAATAAGAAGCGAATTGAATTACAGTTTAATTTGCTTACTTTATAACTGGTATTTAGGCTGTTCTTCCAGCGCATAAGAAAATAAAGAATTCTATTATTATTATTGTTCTTGTTTGTTTACTTGCCTGCATTAATGTGTTCTTCCTCGAGTGCTTGCCTGTAATTTGTCTTTGACTTTATGTTGTGATTGTCCATAATGTAACTACTTTTATCTACACTACGCTATATCTGTAATTGGCCTTGCGGCTGTTTGCTCGGCACATAAATAATAAAGAATTGAATTGAATTATATTATGTTTGTCCATTATGTAACTACTTTTATCTACACTACGCTGTATCTGTAATTGGCCTTGCGGCTGTTGGCTCGGCACATAAATAATAAAGAACTGAATTGAATCATTATTTTCCCGGCAGGGGCCGTTATCCATCTCTTCCTGTGTTTCATATAATTTATCTGAAAATGAATATTCATGTGACAAACGGAAGGAGACATGACGAACTGTCAATGAAATACGCGTAGAACAGTATAAAGGAATACCTGAAAGGAAGAAGTAACAAGAAGTACAAGAAAACTGAAGATGCGTTTGTGCTGTTCGGTAATAGTACGGAATAAATATGGACGTGTAGCATGTATTGTTGACACATGATTTGAATCATAATTCATGGGGCATGTATTAAGTAATATTTACTGTCTACGAGTAAAAACCTGTGTTAAGTGGAAAACTGTCCATAGAGGCAAAAATACAGGTCCTTTGCACTTCCGCTGTTAAGTAGGTTTGCTCTGAGTCCTTTCATTCATGTAAAAGAAAAGATAAAGTTATCCTCGTAACAGGCCGTGGATGCCCATAGGTTTGTGAGATGTCGAGGCTCCCACATTTTCTAGACAATCGGCTCACAGATGGCAGTGAGGTTGTCAGTCTTATGCGCTGGCCGCCCTTTACCCCTAGGAAGATTCCTGGTACTCATTTCTGTTAGAGGCTAAGTCGACCCCGAGCCATAGTGTGACTGGAAGGATTAGGTCAACTGAAAAAAATCCACCTCATCGAGTCTCGAATCCCCGACCTTCCGGCTTATAGCATAGCGCCTCAACCAACTACGCTACCGCGTGCCCCTGTCCCTTCATTCAGACAATGTTTAATGACCATAAATACATTAAAATTAGTTGTAATGCATAATTTGATCACGTGGCAGAGCTGGCTTGTATCAGCATTGTCATTGTGTTCGCTGCAGGTTTCTCCCTGAAGGGTCCAGACGCTGAAGCACGATAGTGTAAGACTCATTTTGTTCGTCTAGTTGTCTATAGCTGATGGCCATGACCTTGTGCCCTGCACGAGTCATTGTGAAAGTGTGGAATCTTTTTGTTTCGTACCTCTAGAGAATAATGACGTGTTCTTTTTGCGTGAAACGCAGCGTATTAAAGTTGTCTTAAGAAGACCCATGTAAACAGATTTGATAAAATGTTACTTTGACATTTAACTAAATGTCGCTTCCAAATCTAGTTAAGGTCCCTGAGACAAAAGTGAACATGTATCTTAGATCTTAGTTCAGAGCGGAGATTCTCAATTTTTGGTCACTGAAACATTTGATTACTTTCCATACAATACGTATAATTCTCCGTATGATGAAGCCCAAACTATTCCATTAATTAATTCACAACATTATTGGACCTTCTACACAATTTTATAAGAAACTCGAATTTACTATTCGTCGACAGAAATGTATGAAAAGTAAAACCAACGACCGATTCGATGTTATTAAACATTAATCAAATTTTAAATTTATATATGACTTGTTATTTTTTAAATAACCTACTTATTGTATTCTTGTGCAAATTAACTTAAATAATTTATAACATTGTATCAAATTTTACGTACTGCAGTTCAATGGTGTACGTTTGTTGAAGTGTGTTTGCCTGATGATGGCCACTCGTGGCCGAAACATGTAGCAGAACTATACTGAGCATTGTCCTTGAAGTTCTATATTTGCTGTGTTGTGACGGTCAAATAAAGAGGTTGTATATATATTGTAACACGGCAGGATGCATGAAATTAAAATTATTTGCTAAAACTTTGTGTCTTGCTCTAAAGGTTCACACTAAACATTTTATGCTTTAAGAACAAGTGATTAATTAATCTTAATTATATTCTCATATCCACACTTAGGTCTCGAAAATGGCCTCTACGTGTAGCTCAAATCATTTGTCGTTGCGATGGATATTTAAAAAAACATAAAAAAATATGGTTTCTGTCTCTTTGTGGTTTTATATTTGTACGTGGAATAAATGAAAATCAAGGACAATCAGGCATGTAAAATATAACTTATACAAAGGCATATTAGGAAGAATACTTTAACGTTTTGTCACAAGCATATTTTTGAGCTTTCCGCAAACCGTTAAGTCGCTCAAGAGAAGTGTCGAATTCTAACTCTACTCGTGCATCGGAGACTCGGATGACCAGCGCAATCGACATAACTGCTACCTAAAACATTATACACATAACTTACCCAGATTACAGCAGGTGCTGGAAATACTTTATTCTTATGCACGCATTACTGACATCTGTGTATAAAGTTAACATTCATACGTATAAGTTCTTTGGGGCAGGCGGGAGCGTAGTTGGTGGAGGCAGTATGCTATAAACAAGAAGGTTGTAATTTTGATTTCCGATCAGTTCATTGGATTTTTCAATTGACCCAATTCTTCCAGTCGCAATATGACCCTGGGGTCGACTCAGCCCCTAACAGAAATGAGTACCAGGAATGTTCTTGGGGGTAAAGGGCGGCCGGTGCGTAGGGCTGACAATCTTACCGCCATCTAAAAGCTGACTGTCAAGAAAATATGGGAGCCTCGACGTTTCACAACCCTATGGGCCTTCACGGTCTGTTACAGGATAACTTTACTTTATACCTTACGTAAAGCTCTTTATCGGAAATAGAAAAAGCATGACATTTAACACCTCAGTCTCTTGTGGTTCAAAGAGTCTCCGGGAATTTCGAGGAGAATGTTCAAGCACAGCACTAATTTCACCGTTATATTTTGCGGTCAGTAACAACGAAATCAGCGCAAGACTTAAACTTCCTCACGACGACGACGAAGACGACAACAACAACAACAACAACAACAACAACAACAACAACAACAACAACAACAGAAGAGAGAATTTCAAGCTTCCGCTTCGTTCTGGCTGTTTTATTTTTAATGTGTTGGGCGATAGATTTTTCGATTCCTCTAGCAGTCTGAACCCTTTCTGGTAGATTAGATAGGAGAAGCATGCGACTATCCGACCTGAGCAGCTGAAGGATTTGCGGGACGCTCTGAGGACACACTATACAAACAGCAAAGTCATCGGCAAGATAATGATTTTGAAACGAGCTGTGTACAAATGTCACGTGAAAGACTACGTGAATGTACATTTGAGGATTTTATTTAATGACGTTACCTCTCGCGAACAGAATATATTAACAATTACCACTAAAGTGGCAAGCCAAAAAAGAAACATTCTAAAACACTCTGTAGTGTTTTGTTCTTATAGGTTCGCGCTCTTCCTTCACAGGTATCGCTATTTGTACTCGTGGGTCTAATTGTACACAGCAGGACAGAGAAGTCCCTATCAGATCACGGTCTGTCGGCTGTACTTAGACACACGACGATAAAAATATTCTTCAATTCAAACGTATCATCATTTCACAATAATTGTCGTGTCTGACTTTACAACTATCATGAAGAGACAAGCTGTAATAGTGCTATAATGGAAACCAATGGGCGAAGCAGTAGATTTGCGAAGATGGTAGAATTATATAGAGATAAACTTCATGATTTGTTCATACAACCTTGTATTCTTAGAAGAGCGAAATCTCGGAGGCTAAGATGGACACAGCATGTGGCCTGGATCGGAGAGACAAGAAATGCGTACATAATATTTACTGGGAAACTTCTTGGAAATTGTTGACTTGGAGAGCCGAGAAGGAGATGGAGGATAATAATAATATGGAAGACAGTGAGATAAATTGTGAGCATTACAGACGCGTGGAACTATTTTATGACGCGCTTTGGTAGGTGTTGAATATTCGGGTTCTGTTACCATAATGTTGCTAACAAAAATTCCTGCTTAACAGTAGTCACGTAACCGGAGTTCAAGAAAGATAAAATAGTCGGTTGTAGCCGGGGATCTGGTTACATCATAAAGATAAAATAGTCGGTTGTAGCCGGGGATCTGGTTACATCATCTTTCCGTGGCGAAACTTCTTTTTTTGTGCTCCTTGTAGCACCATTTTATGCCGCCATTATGATCTCACACAATGCAAACACGTGAGATAGCCGTACCCCCGCCCAGATTCGAGGAAAATGTTTGCAAAACACTACTGCCAGCAACCATGCTGAAACAGTTGATACGCGAAAAGAGGACTGGATATTATTATTAGACGGTACGATATTACTGCTTCAGTTCACATCAAACAAGATGGTAGGTGGCAGCTGGAAGAGACAGAACAATAAGACTGCGATGTTTCGAGATATTTCCCACCCGAACGTGTCCTTTTTAATGTTATGAGTACTGTGCAAAAAATCTTATTGGAACAATTATGATTTACCGGCAAAATGTTATTACTGTTATACTGTTTATAGACGTGACTACTTTTACGTATTTCAATTTTATTTTCCGTCTGTAACAGTACTTTCATCGCCGTAAGAGCAGGAGCAAGAGCAAGAACGCGACACGGTAATTCAGTGCTGTAGTGAGAGGAAGTGTACAGTGTCCACAGTGAAGCTTGACTGACCCTGATCAGCTAAACTCCTGACTCCCAGCGTGTCTCATTCCTAGCAGAATACTTACAAAGCGATATGGCTGAATGGGAATCTCATATACACTGCTCCTGTATCCAATAATGCCAGGAAAACTGCGGATATGGAGTGGTCTGTCTTTGGGTGCAATGGTCTCAACATCTTTCGAAGATGGAGCGTCGTCGGCGGAAATCACCAGCGCCGTCAGCGTCGCTAAAACTATCAGCAACGTCTTCATGTTGCTACACTTTCACCTGCAATGCAGACAATTGCTGAAGAAACTGAATAGATTACTTACATGTGTTATTGTGTGTTCTTTGTGCAGGGTGCACGCACATAAGCAAAAAAAGAAAACACTGGGCGGCTTTCCATTGTGTTTGATTTCAGAGGAATGCGGCAGGGGCATTCTCGAGAAGCGAATGGTCACACGGCGACTTAATAAATTGCTCACCTTCTATGGAACTCGAAGATTCAACACAGCCCATTACTGGTCCCCATTCTGAGCCAGATGTGTCCGGTCTATAATATTCTACCCTATTTATTTAAGATCTATTTTAATATTATCTAGGTTCACGCTGTGGGCGTAGTTGGTTGAGGCATTATGCTACAAGCCGAAAGGCTGCGGGTTCGATTCCCGATCGGATCATTGGATATATATATATATATTTTTTTTTCAATTTACCTAAACCTTCCAGCCGCACTATGGCTCTGGTGTTGACTCAGCCACTAACAGAAATGAGTATAATGAATCTTCCTGGGGGGCAAAGGGCGGCCAAGGCGTAAGGCTGACCTTTCCGCCATCTGTGAGTTGATTGTTTAGATGATGTGGGAGCCTCGACGTCTCACAACCTTATGGGTCTTCACGGTCTGTTACAGGGATAGCTTTACCTTTCTTTCTATCTATCTATCTATCTATCTATCTATCTATCTATCTATCTATCTGTCTGTCTGTCTGTCTATCTATCTGTCTTTCTATCTATCTGTCTTTCTATCTATCTGTCTGTCTGTCTATCTATCTATCTATCTATCTATCTATCTACCTATCTATCTGTGCCTATGTCTTCGAAATGTTTGTTTTTCTGTTCACACTACTTGACTAAAAGTTTGTATGCATTTTCCATGTCTCTCATTTCTACTACATGCCCCATCCATCCTATCCTCCTTGATTTTATAACGATCATACCTTTCTACTTATGCTTTTGTCACTGCAGTCTTTTCAAACAGTTTATTGTATTATGTTCTTAAAGCAGACACTTGTTGTAGCACTTAGGCGTAGTTAATTAAGCAAACCTTCAGTTTCACCACTTTCATTATCCATGCTGATTTCGAGGATGTTCATATTTACCGGTGATTCGGGGCACTGCACATATTTACCAAAGTAATTTAAGAGTGTAGAAACTGAAGTGTGTGTGTGCGTGTGCGTGCGTGCGTATGCATCCAAATGTGCAACGGTAAGGCTATACTTCCGCTAACACAGTATATCGCCGACATATCGGCAACTTGTTGGGAGCTGGCTAAGCTGAAAAAAATATTCCGTTTAAAACTTTTTATGTAATTCCGCCGATATTGAACGAAACGCTCACGTTATATAATTTGCGCCGAAAAGTTCTTACGTTTACATTGCGAAGGCAGAAAGAAACGGCGGTGGATTTGTAGTTTTCTTCCGAATCGTGGATCAAAAGAAGAGCAGAAGTCATTACTGAATCAGTTTCGTCTCCAAAGTGGATATGCAAATTGTCCGAACAACAATCTTTAAATATTTATTCCGGCTAATAGCAAACTACGGTTCATAAACATATGTTCAGTGTTTCAAAAGTTGGTGGGGGGGGGGGGGGGGACAGAAAGAAATTATGATACTGTAATCCCTCCTTTTCTCATAAAGTAAGAAAGTACAGAAGAAATGTCCCAGATATGTCTTTGATTTAAGGCTTCTTTTCATTTTATATCAATAATAAAAATGTGTTATTAATTAATTTCACTTCTGCCATATGCCTATGTACTTTCCTGAGTGTAATTTGTTGCAGTTAATTATACGGTTTCAAGTGTTGACATCATTCTCTGGTGTGCTACACCACAGACACTTTTACACAGACTAAAATTTAACTCTCAAAGGTGATAACTACAGTAGTTTATATTATGTTTCAAACAGAAATTAGTTATGTAAGATCTGAGGCTTTCACGGCGGTGACTATGAAGAAAGCAGTCTTCTGGGATTTGGCACCGTGTATATGNGTCTGCTTTTACCGGTTCTCACGGTCTCTTCGCTTGCAGATTTCTTATATTTTTTCTTCTACCCTGAAGATGGAGGCGATACGTTCCTCCGAAACATCGGTTAACACCACATATACACGGTGCCAAATCCCAGAAGACTGCTTTCTTCAGAAATTAGTTTATTTTTTATTTGTCGCCGTGTTAGATGGTGGGGTACAAAATACTCGTACGGTTTATAGGTATGCTGTGGGGAGGAAAATAAATTTGGATCATCTTGATGGTTAAATTTTTATGTTCAGGGAGAGCGTTCAGCTTCGGTTCGAGTGGAGGGAACAGCCAAAAGACAAAATGTCAGCACTGGATCCAATAGACTAACAACGTCAGTTTCAATGTGTCAAAACCGACTATAGAAATCCGCCATTGAGCTCGTTAGGGTAACTAAAACCAGACCAGTATTCCGAAGGTATCCTGTTTGAACCTCGGCCGGATTACAAACCATATTTATTCAGTGTTTTTACTTAGTATCTCAGGCATATCCTCTTTCAATCCTTGTTACAAAATTTCATATAAGAATATATGAAATGCGTGTCTTTGGTGCAGATGCAAATATAATATCTGACAGCCATGTTCTCCGGAACACACAAACTCCACGAACATGTTGACGTTGAAGAAATATTAAAATACTTCCTTATGATGGAAAAGTTCATTCTAATTGCAATGATTTGACGACACCGCGATAACGTAATATGTAACCATAGTCGAAATACAACTTATGTTGATGTGAGCGGAAACATAAATAATTATTGTTCTGAAGGTGAAATTGTCCCTTTGACTCTCATGCCATAGACAATGAGGAAAGTGGAAGTGAGTCATCACACATTCTATACCTCACTTCCGGCGACTTCAGCAGCCAGGTCTCACTGCATAAAACAACGACTGGCTCCCCAGAGGCGGCCCTGACCTAACAGCCATTCCTGCTCCTCTTGGGAATCGAACCCTTACTACCCATCCAGCAACAAGTCAGTTTAATGATTGAGCTAGTCCGAATAGCTTCCTTCACGCTCTGGGGAGTTCACATGCTAGAAGAATTGCTACCTACCATGGTTCGTTGGTCGCAGAAGGAATTGTTCATTCACAGGCAATTTTCAGTGATATAATGTAAGGATCAAACATCTAGAGTTCTAAGAATATAACTTCAATATGTAAAGTATGTAAAACTTCAATTAAAATCCAGCAGCACCCATATTAACATCTTAGTATGGAAACCGTGGATGACTTACTTTTAAACACTTCCTGAAATTATAAACTTATTTCATCCATTCACTGGTAACTTTAACTGCGGCAACAGTAAACTTGTTCCTGTGTCTACGCTCCGTGCCAAAAAGGCGCCGGTCCTATGGAGACGAGAAGGAAAATGTCCGATCTATTTCTAACCTTGGTGCTAGGTGCGGTGGACAGGAGGCTGAATGGACTCCAAGGCCGGTCTTGACGCTAAGACAAAGAGGGAAATCCGCACCCTTACAGAGAGAATCATATCTCAGGCATTATGCTTATCTCACAACATAACGTCTGTGTGATTCGCCGGGGATCAAACTAAATGCAGTCTACAAGATTCTTACTTGTTATGTTATTTGCATAGCAAGACTATGCTTAACGTGAGTTCCTGAAGTTGAAACAAAGAAGTACTTTAAAAGTTGTCAACTTTGGAGGAATATTTTATATGCAAAAGACCCATTCTGTTTCGGAATCAGACTTGCTCCATTTCGATTGTTAGGATGCGTGATTTACATACTTGCTTTCCATTCAGCTGCGTGCTCATCTGCTCCCGAATTTAAGCATTTTGAAGTAAATACAAAACTGAATAATTAATTGCTGAATTAACTTCGATCAAGGTTTGGTTCCACAAAAGTGAGGATATTTGAAGAGATGAGCGACTACTCGCTTCTCAAAATGGGCCCTGCTCTGTGGAATTGGTTGAGAACAAATAATCTTAAAATTATTTTTGAAAAACATAGTTAATCAAAATTACCCCACGAACTCTCATTTATGGGTCTCTCTCTGGCTTCGTAAATGAACTGAATGTGGTTATATTTAAAATCGTGTGACTGTCTATGAGTTGGATTACCTGTGTTCGATTCCCGACAGGGGCAGGGATTATTCTTTCGTCACCTTGTCCAGACCAGTTCTGGACCCTACCCCGTCTCCTATCCAAAGATTACAGAAGGGTTCTATCTCCGGGGAAAGAAACGGAGCATGAAATTGACAATGTATCTCCATATTTCATCGATGTTAAAAATGTGTTGAATTTTACCTCCACTTCGCCATACGTCTTCATGGCTCAGTGTTGACTCAAAAGCAAATGTATCTCTTTAAAATGTAACTGAAATTTTTGAATTCTGAAATTGTACTTGAAATATTTGAGGTTAAATGAAGTGAAATATCTTAAAATAAAATTCATACAATGAATTACTCGTATTTGTCCGGACATATATTTTCAGGACCCTGATCTCAATTTAGCGTGAAGCAACCACCGAAGAAAGAGAGGAAAAGGTATAAAGGAAAAATGAAAAAAAATCATAATTTAAAGTAAAAATCTATACTAGAACGTATTTTTTTTGACAGGCTTAAAAACCGGAAAAAAAGAGTAAATAATGTTGAATCACTGCTCTGTATAAACATTAATAAGAACACAATCATCTTACCTCGTATTTTATTTCGACCGTCACTGGTGGCTTTGGAATACAGACTCGTGCGCGATTTACAAAATAATCAGACATCTTGTCTTAGTCACGGAGCGAGGAATTTGCGTGTTTGTATCGAAGGGAGGAAGCTTAACAAATAAAGACAATTACACCAGTATACAACGTATTGTTTGTTTTATAGTTACATGCTCATCACAGCTCAAAGGGGCCTTGAAAACCGATAGCACGACAAGTCATACTACAAATTGTAGAGGTGGTTCCGTCATCTAACTCAGTAATTACAGATCTGCGGTCTATTGCCTGCTTATTGGCTGCTACAACAAGAGGCGGAAGGGGAGGACACGTTTCTTAAATGATCAGCCATTATACATATATATATAAAAGAAGAAAGAAAACGGTGAATTTTTAGCCGTCATCTTACTTGTAGTAGAGCTAGAATTCTGTCAAGGACAAGACTCGTCCCGTCTCTTAGGAAAAAAGAAGTCGTTTGTAATGTGTCATGAACGTGTGGACGCATGCGTATAATAATTGTTTAAAAAGAAAGGAGTAAGAAGAAGAGTATGAAATTATAATAGAATAAGCCTTCAGGGATGGTAAATTTATTGTTATAGCGTTTCCAAGCTTCCAGCACTATGTCTCATTTCACAATCCCAATGTACAGTTGATTCAAGGATAAGATTGGTGCATGCAAATCTGCACAGCGAAGCCGACGCAGGGCACAGGAACGACAGGACTGCAAATGATCCGGCATGATTCTCAAGGCATCCATTGCACTTTATCACGTTTGCTTGAGGTCTATTTACCCACAGAGATATTGGGTTTTCGGACTTTATCCATCGTCCTGGTTTTTAAGATAACTAATAAAAACACTACGTTTCGGAAACTGAATCTGTTTCCGTCCTCAGGTAAGGGAAAACACCTATTCTGTTGGGTCACTTAGAAAGAGCTAGCCTCAACCACTGGTCCAGCGCAAGGTTTCCTTTCCGTCGCCTTCGACGATTCGCAAGGCTACGTTTGGAGGTATTCTGGCCCGCCTCCACACAAGGAAAGATGCACCTTTTCTTTCGTTTTAATGTAAAGTCATAATCGAAACGTTTGGAAGACATTGTAAAATATTAGTTACCAATGGTATACAGAGTTTGAATTTTCATGTAAGAATTAAACTACACTTACACGCAGTACGACAATGCAACAATGAGCGTAGATGTGAAAATGAACGTTGACTCATACCTCTTCCTTGCAGAAAAGCATTTATTAAGCAATATTAAGACTGCTTGGTATATTCAGTCTCCAGGTCCCGATTAGGTGCTTTATACACCGTCATACAATACAGTTGTAACAATGGAAGGACATAAAGTAATTCTGTAATCTCCTTTATAGCTGAGTTTATGTTTACTGTCCCACGACTAATGCTATGGACATGAGGACTCTTCTTGCGCTGTAGTTATACAATGTAAGTTTTCACGTCAGTTCGTGGACGCCATAAAATTAAGACGCACCCCAATTTCAGAAACTTTGAAGTGTGTGTGTGTGGGGGTGGGGGGTGGAATATCTTCATATCGAGGAAATGCAGTATGATACACATGAATATTTTCGATGTTACTACAGTTCTTGAGTGGTGGGCGATACTGCCGATGTTTCAGGTGTACACGCTGCCCCCACCTTCATTGTCGACATCACCTACAACCACACGGTGTAACAACACCAGGATAAAATTACTGGCAATAATTAATCACCGTGAAATTATAAGATTGCTAATAAAATGTTAATTTGTATTTAAGGGGGATATATTATGCATTAATATGGCTAAAAATAGGAATTACCCAACAAATTTTAGTGAAAGTCTCCTGTGTAGAATGAAGAAAATATCTGCCCATGCGCTGACACTAGGCTACATACTGAGAGACGGGCAGGCAGGACCTTCAACAAATTTGAGCTAAGAAATATTACATATCATTTAGCAGAAACGGTCCAACAATTTTCGAGTTATGAGATGACACAACAAAACAATTAATTTCGTTTCATTATCTCTATTAGATAATATGATTAGAGTGGCTAAAAATATGACGTAGTCATGATTTTTCATTCTGAGAAACTGAAAGAACTTCGTGGCCAAATATACATTTGGGCGAAACAGCAGATTAACTGATTATAGCATGACAGAAAGCGTACTACACTCCGGGATACTGAAAGCTTTGCGGAATCCGTTGCAGTGTCTCAAGAAACGGAATGCAGATATATCTTATTCTGGAGTCGCGAATGGGTTTTTATGGTCTGTTGAACAAATTTCCCACGTTACATCAGAAATTGAATAATTGATGGCTCTCGAAAATAACATCCTGTTACAATGAGGTAGGGAAACTCAGCTTATCGAATCATCCACTCTCGTTATAAGACAAGAACGAGAATTGTGCTCAGGAGAATATCTGGAACTCCACTAAGTGGGGAACAAGTACAATTACATAACAAGGAACTTCGTGACATACATTTACACGGTATTATTAGGATGCTTAAATTATATATATATTACGATGAGTTGTAAAAGTAGAAAAACGGATATAGGGGTTTATTCCTGTAACCGTTAAAATGCTGAAAAACATATTGGTGGATAATTGGTATAAATGACCTTAGCAGTGGAATATAAAAAAGTGAAAGATAAAGCTATCCCTGTAACAGGCCGTGGAGGCCCATAGGGTTGTGAGATTTTGAGGTTCCCACATTTTCTAGACAATCGGCTCACAGATGGTGGTAAGGTTGTCGGCCTTACGCGCCGGCCGCCCTTTACCCCCAAGAAAATTCCTGGTACGCATTTCTGTTAGAGACTGAGTCGACCCAAGGGCCATAATCCGGCTGCAAGGATCAGGTAAATTGAAAAAATCCACCTCATCGGTATTCGATCCCGCGACCTTCCGGCTTGTAGCATAGTGCCTCAACCAACTACGCTAGCGCGTGCACCTACCAATGGCTCCCTGGTTTATTACGGAGACATTTAAAGAATTTTGGATTAAACCTCAATTACAGCTTTACTTCTGTTAATTACCGATTATTTCATATTCTATCATGTAAGAATTTATTAAATTTTACGAACCCCTTTTGGCAACCAATCACTGCCAACCATTGGATTTACGTTTGTACATTTCAATTCAACCAGACGAGATGAACTGAATTATACCTACTCTAGATGGTGCAGGGTCTCACATATGGTTAAACCAATGGCCTACAAAGACGGCCACAGCCATTAGAACGCATACCTGCTCTCTTGTACAATTTAATAATAAATGATAGACTAAAGGGATATACAACATTATTCCACTCATGATTCAGTATCTGCCTACCTATTCCCCCACTCCACGCCCTTATCCTTTTACTTCAGCGGCCAGGGATTCTAATAGCGTTTCGTCATTAAAGTACCGTCGTCCTTAGCGGAACTTGCCAAACGGCTGAAGCCAGCTCAAGGACGATTGTTTTGACACTGATTAATTCTGCAGTCAACTCTCTCCCTGCAATCTGTCGGTGGCTGCCACTTTTGGTTAGGATCCCATTGTAAGACGTAATCAGCAAAGAATATTACCGTCTGGCGAAGTCGAGAATTATGATTAATATTATTCATGGTTCTGTTCATTCAATGAAAGAAAATCCTATTAATAGTCTATGGCCATGATAAGATATAAACAATACCAACATTGTAATGTCTTCTGGAATGTCACGCTGTGTACTCCG